TGAGCTTATTTCGAATCCCCTTATCAACAAGCTTCTGTAACAGAGTAATAGCCATCAACTTCTCACCATGACGAACTCTATTCCTCTCCCTCCAAATTGAGTAAACAGCAATTTGAAAAGAGTATCTAATACAGAAGGTACTAACCAAACCCCTCGAGTTTTCAGTTATCCTCTGTGTAATCACATTCCACTCCCCTGAATAATCTCTACCAAGGATTCCCAATGTAAGCGATCGCCAAAGCTGAGTAGAGTAGTCACAGTCAAAGAATAGATGCTCTCTGGTTTCTACTCCATTCTTGCAGAGCACACAAATTGTGTCTATTCCCGTATCCCAAGTTGCAATTCTATCCATTGTAGCTAATCTGTTTAACAGAGCAAGCCAAGCAATGAATGAGAATTGATCAACAGCAATAAGCAAACCCTGTCATAAAAGGTCTATCAGTTAAGAAAGAAAACATAAATCAACTTATCAATGGTGAAAAATATTACCTTTTGTCTATCTGTTATTAGTGTGAATCCTTCTCCATCATTAATACCCAAATCCACTTTTTGTTTGCTAAGAAACCATAACCAATTATCTGTGTTTTCCACTCCAACAACGGCCCAAGAAAAAGGATAAAACTGATTATTTGCATCTCTTTCAACGGATGCCAATAGTTGGCCTTGAACGTTGTTCTTAAGAAAACAACCATCAATCTCAATGATTGGACGACAATAGGCACGCCAAATGTCGCGGAATGCTTTAAAGCACACATAAAACCGATCAAAGAGCACTAAATCTCCATCCCCAGAAACTGTCCCAAGCTCTATAGTCGATCCTTGGTTAGTTCTGTGACAAAAATATTAAGAATTAAGAGGTTTACTAACTGAATTTAACCCAAAGAAACAATTTCAACTTACCTCAACAGCTCTTTTTCATAGTCTTTTAATCTCATAAATTGCTAATCATATTCTTCTTGAATGATCTTTAAGATTTTTTCCTTCGCTTTTCTACATTGGTTATACGAGACAACCAAATCATATCGTGCCTCTAGAGCGTTTTGCATAGCTTGTGGCATAAAATCAGGATCTCTCCTAATGTCGTTCAAGAACAACTTAGCAATTATCCCATCCTTCACTACTTTGCTAAACCCATCCTTGGTACAAGAATGTTCATCATTATAGAATTTCACCATGAAGAAGCCAATTGGTTGTTCAAAAGAGAAGTATGTTCTAAATGGGCAAACTCCACCAATGGTACACTTGACTTCAGATTTCTCGGAGCCCCATCTAGTTTACTTCACATTCCAACCTGTTTTGAGCACATAATAAAGGGTTAACTGCCTAAAACTCCCTGTAAATACAAAAATCCTATCTATTCCCCCCTATACTATCTATCTCTTGAGAAAACCTCCCATACTTTAAATTCTCTTCATATATCTCTCCATTCTTTTTAACTCTTCCCAGATCCCCATCTCTAATCAGATCCGAAAACAACCCAACAGAGAGGTCCGACTTAATTTAAAAATGAAATCGATTTAGGGGAAATTTCAAATTAGGGTTCTTGTGTTTTCAGGTCGACGACGAGGAGAACAGAAGGACATAGAGAGAGAGAGAGAGAGAGAGAGAAACGAGGGCGAAGAGTGAGAAGGAAGAAGGAGCAAGCTTTAGAGAGAGCCCGAGTTTGAGTTCGGGACTTCGGGTTTGTTTTCAATGCGACGAGGACCGAGAGGGAGAGGCAGAGAAGAAGAAGAAGAATGGAAGAGAGCAGAGAGTACATGTTACAGAGAAACGTAACGAAGAAGACGATGAACAGTAAAACTATGGAATCACGTTCATCAAAACGTCACCATTTCTCCATGTGACATAAGCTTAGAAGAAAGAAACCGCTCACAGCAACAATGGAACAAATCTCAATTACAGAGAGGATCTTAAGAAGAACCCTAAGATGAAGAAGAAGAAATTACTCCACTATTTTCTGATTAAATCTTTCTTCTGCTACGGAATGCTTAAGACATGACTTTGACTTTGTTGGATTGTTATGTTTGTCTTTATGTTTAAAACAAGAGCTCTACTTTGACTGATTTCTTATATGATTGTGTGTTTATGTTTAAAACATGAGTATGACTTTGTCCGATTGTTATATACTTGTAAATGTGTTGTTATGTTTAAAACTTGAGTTATGGTTAATGCATTAGAAGATAAATGACTGTAAACTTTAAAGAACAGGTTTCAAAGATTTAACACAAAACAACACCAAGTTTAAGAGAATTGCAAAGTCGAAAATACAAATAACGAGAGCTTAAACTCAAAAAACGTCTTTTTGTGTCTCTGTTTCGTCCATGGCATAGTTCGTAGCTGTCTCTCTATCCTCTGTACTATTACAGTGAAATAGAATAAAGAGTTGTTGAGAAGATCGGTACATAGTTTCATCGTCGTCTTCGTTACATTTCTATGTAACATGTATTCTCTGCTCTTTTTCATTCTCTTCTTCTTCCTCTCTCTCTCTTTATTCTTCGCGTTGAAGACGAACCCCAACTCAAACTCAAACTCTCTCTCAAGCTTGCTCGATTGTACCTCTCACTCTTCGCCCTCGTTTTCTCTCTCTCTCTCTCTCTATCTCTCTCTCTCCCTCTCTCTCTCTCTCTCTCTCCCTGTCCCTCTGTGTCGAGACCAGAAAACACACGAGTCCTAATTTTGAGTTTCCCGCAAATCGATTTCGGTTTTAAAGTTAAGTCGGGACTGTTTTGTAAGGTCCGGGTCGTCATGATTAGTGGATAATATGTTCAGAAAACGCGATTTTTTTTTATTGCGTTTTCGGATCCGATTAGAGATGGGGATCTAGAAAGAGTTAAAAATAATGGGGAGATATATGAAGAGAATTTTAATTCTGGGTGGTTTTCTCAAGAGGTAAATAGTATAGGTGGGTATAGATAGGGTTGTTGTATTTATAGTGGGTTTTAGGCAGTCAACCCCATAATAAATCCCCGCATCTTTGAACTCAGCTATGCTATCAAATCTTTGCTCCAGCCTGATCTCTCCACTGAATTTGTTGTATCTATCATAATGTCTCCGCCCTTCTGCTTCCTCACCTTCCTCACAGTCCGAGTTTAGCGGAGTATCCTCGGAATTGCACTCTTCTTCTTCCTCAACGAAACCCATTATTATCTCTTCAACTCGAGCGTCTGCCTCACATATTCACCACCATTACCACCAGCCACAGAGCTAAGAAACATAACAAGAAGCATCACAAATCGTGGAACCAACATTAAAAACAATAAACTTGGGATGCACAATGAGAAATCTGAGATTTTAAATTGGTATAAAACTTGTAAAAGTCAATCTGTTTTTTACCTCATGTTTTCTTTGTCGTGAATCAATACTTTTTTGAAACTCTTCCCTGTCATTTGAATTTTTCTCCAAAATCTTATGAATTTTGAAAACCCTAAATTTTCCCTTAAAGGTTCTCTGTAGTTGACAAAGGAAAAAGACAAGTTTAATTGTTTTCAGTAAAACGACGTGGTTCAAGACACTTTCGTTTAATTTTAAAAAACGAACAAAACGACACCGTTTTCATAACTCTTAAAGTTAACAGTTGACTCATATATTTTCGGTCAAAGTTGGTTTATATCGGATATTTAAAATTTGGGTATGACGAAACGGGAAATTTGAGTTTATGTATGTGGTGAACGAACTTGAGAATCTAGGT